TTTTCCGCGTGAGGTCGCGTGTATTCGCCCTATTCTCCACGCGGTGTGCCACGTCGGCGGCCGTGTAAGCATCGGCGTAAGGTAGCTATGTCTTCTCGCGTGAGGCCCACTATTTTTCGTCGCTCAAATTGGGTCCGAGTAGGCGTGATTGGAGAACTGCGCGGTTACCCCGATGTATCGGTGGTGCGGCTCGATATGGAGACTCATTTTCTTCACGCCGGCGGCGCCGAGACATCGACGGCGTCGCCGATGCATCAGCGATGCGCTGGCGATTCGGCGCGATGCTCCGACCCCATCTACTCTGACCCCAATGGATCGACGGAAGACAACAGGGTCGACTGCGCGGAGACATTCACAGGTTAGGCTTCCCGCGTAAGGTCGCGCGTGAACGCTTTTTCTCCATGCGGTCTGCCTCGCTGGCGGCACGCGTAAGCCGCGGCGTAAGATCGCTGTGCCATCGCGCGCAAGTCTCCTTTGGGAGGCCTCCACAGTCGCGAGCCGTCCTGGGCGGCCGAAGAGGTTCGACGAGCAAGATCGGCACACACGCACGCATCAACCTTCCGAGGCTTGTGCGGCTTTCTCGGATCGGCGCCGGCCCACCTTTTAACCCTTGGGCGCGCGGAGGCGCCGCTGGATGCGGCGCCGAAGGCGCCGCTTTGGGGGGTCCAGCCCCGAATCCAGGAACTCTTGGCGGACCTCGGACAACTGATGTCCATGCGGCACGAGCATAGACTGTTGGTCCGCTCAGATGAGAACATTGGCATGAAGAAGAGACGAATCGAACAAGCATCGAATAGTCCAGCTCCATCGAAGAAAAACACTTCCATCGAATAGAAGCCGAGAACATCTCACTCGAAAAAAGTATATTTGCATGACTCATGCAGATGTTCTTCTTCGGCACAGGCTTTCTCGTCTTCAGTAGCCGCGCCTCGCGCAGAGATCTTCTTGGGTCGGCGCGGAGATAGCCACCTGGCGGCGCCTCCGCCAGGGGCAACGAGAGGGGGGTGCATAGTCCCAGGAGGGGGGAGCACGGACCCCCGATCAGTTCGAGGCTCCTGGTTCTTTGGGGGGGGGGTAGCGTTTCGAGGTTTTCCGGCGTTTTCGATGATTCTCGGCTGCTTTCCAGCCTCGCCTGGCCGAGAGCCTTCAGCGGCCGCGCCTCGCCGAGAGCGCTCCACGGGTGCCTGGATCGTCTCGAACGGCCGCCAGAGACCCGAGGTATGACTTGAAAACCACACGGGGCGGGGATAGGCTCAGGGGGGGATGCATCGGCCCCCGATCACCCATTCATAGCCGACGGGGGCCTGCCCTGACACGTTGGGTTTTGCTGACAGGGGCCTGTGGCGGACCTGTTGGCGACGCATCGCCAGTCCTAGGTCGATGCATCCCCCTCTGAGTCAGGCCACCCCTATCATCCCCCCTCAAAGAGGAAGAGGAAGAGAGCATTTTTCAGAACTTCTCCGTGCCCGTTCTGGCGTGCGAGCTCCAGGCGCCCAGCGGCGCGGTGGAGAGGGTGCTCGCCCTTCAAGGGGCCGCTTTGCGTCGCGAGGGACGCGTGCAGAGGGACGTGTCAGGAGGGACTCGGGACGGAAGGGTGTTTCGCAGTATCGCCGATGTATCATCATCATCATCATCATCATCATCATCATCATCATCATCATCATCATCATCATCATCATCATCATCATCATCATCATCATCATCATCATCATCATCAGCATCAGCATCAGCATCAGCATCAGCATCAGCATCAGCATCAGCATCAGCATCATCAGCATCATCATCATCAGCATCATCATAATCATCATCATCATCAACATCATCACCATCATCATCATCATCATCATTATCAGTATCAATATCATTATCATTCTCATTCTCAGTATCATTATCATCATCATCATTATTATCATCATCATCACTGTCATCATCATTAGTATCATCATCAGCAGCAGCAGCAGCAGCAGCAGCAGCATCATCATCATCATCATCATCATCATCATCATCATCAACATCATCATGTATCATGCGCTTGCTCTGGTCCTCCACCTCGTCCCTCCCCTCCGTCTGCACCTTCTGCTCCTCCTCCGATGCCTGCGTAGCCATTTTGTCATGAGGAACACTTTTGCTCCGAACAAGGATGACGGAAAGCGCGCGTAGACCCGTTAATCGGGAGAAATAGCAATGGGGAGTGTAAGGGGATTGGCATGACTCGCCCCAGATGACGGAAGGCGCGCGTAGCGTCGCGACCCGTTCGCCAGGAGAAATCACAATGGGGAGTGTGAGGGGGCTGGCTTCGGCGGCCCCAGGTGACGGAAAGCGCGCGTAGCGTCGCAATCAGTTCGCCGGTGGAAATATAAAGGGGGAGTGTGAGGGGGTTGGCGTCGGCGGGGCCAGATCCGATGTCCCAACTTTCGGTCATGCTCGGCCCTAGACGGCCCAAGTCAACCCCAAGAGCGCCTAAGGGGGCCCCAAGACGGCCCCCCAAGCGCGCCCAAGCTACCTCTACAAGGGCCTCAGGCAGGCCCAGGAGGGCCCCGAGACGGCCCGAAAGCGCTTGAAGAGGGCCCAAGATGTCCTCAAGACTGCCAAAGAGGGCCTCAACACGCTCCACGAGGCCTCCGAAAGGACGCCCAAGAGGCAACCGTCGTCTCCATTCCCTCGGGAAGACGCATCTTTTGGCACGTCTGCTTCTCTGGTCTTCGCAGCGCCCACGACGCCCAGGAGGCCCCCGGCGTCGCCCCAAGACGGCACAAGAGGCCCCCAAGACGGCCCCGAGGCGGCCTCCGACTCGGCCCACGAGAGCCCAGAGACGGCCCAAGAGAGGCCCCTGCGGGCCCCAGAAGGTTCCCAGGAGAGCCCCGAGAGGGCCACAGGAGGTCCCCCAAGCGGGGGTCCCAGAGGGCTCCGCGAGGGCCCCAAGGCGGCCCGAGCCCCCCAAGACGGCCCGAGAGGGCAGGGCCCCAAGACGGCCCAGAGGAGTTCCAAGAAAGCCCGGAGAGGCCAGATTCATTGATTTTCGCAAGTTTGCTTGTGAGTGTTTTGTATGGCGTCCCAAGACATTGAGCAAGCGATCTCGCGCCCTCACAGAGTACAAGCGCTTTCCGTCCCCGTGCCAAGCAGGTGACGGAAAGAGCGAAGTACGAGTGATGACGTTGAGTTTGGACGCAGCCCTCTAGGGAGGGGTCCAGGGAGGGGGAAGGAGCGGGGACATACGATCTAGTAGGCACCCAAGACGGCCCAAGAGGCGTCCAGGACGGCCCAAGATATCCCCAAGACGGCCCAAGAAACCCAGAGACGCTAAGGAACACCATGGTCCCCCACAGCGAGCGGTGACGCAACAAGCTCTGAGCACCAAGGCTCCCAAGAGCGAGGTGACGCAAACAACTCTCAACACCAAGGCTCCCAGGAGCGAGCGGCAACGTAGAAGTCTCTGAGCACCAAGGCTCCTAACGGAGAGCGGCGACGTAACAAACTTTTACCACCAAGGCTCCCAAGAGGGAAGGGTGCCGTGAGCCCTCTCGGTCAAGTTCCTGAGGCGCTCTTTCCGTTTCCGTGCCGATCCAGGTCGAATGGCTCCAATTTTCGGTAATGTTCGGCCCCAGATGGCCCAAGTCAGCCTCAAGAGCGCCCAAGACGGCCCAAGAGGCACCCAAGACGGCTGAAGACACGTCTAAGGCGGCCTCAGGGAGGCCCAGGAGGACCCGTCGGCACAAGAGCGCTCAACGACGGCCCAAGATGGTTTCAAGACGGTCGCAGTGGCACTCCAGACGCTCCAAGATGCCCTCAAGAGGACCCCCAGAGGCAAACATCGTCCCATTCCGGAGGGAAAACGTCAACTTTTGGCACATTCGCTTTCTTCGTCCTCATACTGTCGATGACGGTCCAAGAGGCCCCCCAAGATTGCCCCGAAACGGCAACAGAGACACCCTAGAGAGGGCCCCGAGACTGCCCCAGTTGGCTCCAAGACAGCCTAACAGAGCCCCAAGACGGCCCAAGAGAGGCCCCCTGAGGGTACCAAAAGTTTCCCAAGAGAGCCCTACGAGGGCCACTGGAGGTCCCCAAGAGGGCCCATGAGGTCCCCAAGAGGGCCCCCAGGCGGCCCAAGTGGGCTTCAAGATGGCCCAAGAGAGTCTCAAGAAGCACCCATCCCGCCACAGTGCCTAGGTTGTGGGGCAGAGGCCTCTTGGATGCCTGTTGTTGTCTCTTGGGTGGCCTCTCGGGAGCAATATGGACGCACTTTGAAGGCTCTTGGGGCCTCTTGGGGCCCGTTCGGGGGCATTTTGGGTCTCTTTTGGGCCTCGTGGGGGCCTCTGGGGGGCTCCTGGGGGCCCCTTGAGAGTCTCGACTTGTCGGTTCGAGTCCCTCCTCTGAGGCTCCCCTTGGGGCCATCTTGGGGCCCTCTTGGGCTGTCTTCAGGCGCTCTTGTGCCGTCTTGGGGTCCTCTTGGGTCGTCTTAGGGCTCTCTTGAGGAGCTCTTAGGCCGTTTTGGAGCGATCTTTGGGGCCTCTTCGGCTCTCTTGGAGCGTCGACAAGCCGAAACGGCGAGAAGCACCAAAACTTTGAAAAACCCAATGCAAATGAATAATTTTGGCCTCTTGGGGCTCGCTCGGGAGGTCTCTTGGAGGCCGCTTGGGGGTCTTGTCGGCCTCTTGAGCTGCCTGGGGCCCATCTTGAGCGTCTTGGAGCGATCATTGGGCGTCTCGGGGCCCTCTTTGGACCGTCTTGGCGGCCTCTTGGAGTCCTCTCGGCCTGTCTTGGGGCTTTCTTCGGCCTGGAAAAGTTACGCGCCACCACGCCGGGAACTCCACGGGAACTGCGGCAAACCTTGCTAAATTTGGCAGTTTTGGCTCTGGGCCCCTAACTGACTCCTCAGGACTAAGAACTGAAGCTCTCAGGCTCATGGGATTGGGCAAAGGACCTGAGGACACGCCCACTCCGTGCCCAGAGGCACGGTGGCGAATCTTCAGGGTGTCCTACTCACGCCGCCAGCTTGCCAAATGGATTTTGTTATTGCGATTCCTAGCTACCGGCGCGCAGGGATGATCGAGGCCAAGACTTTGGCACTGCTGGACAGACACGGGATTTCGCGGGATTGCATCCACATCTTCGTGGCTAATGGCAACGAGAACAACACCTACAGGGACACATTGGGAGAGGGGTGGAAGCATATCGTCACTGGCGTTCCAGGCCTGTGGCGGCAGCGCAATTTTATTACAGCTTATTTCCCCGAGGGTACCTACATCGTTTCCTTGGACGACGACGTGGAGGACATTCTGAGACTCTACGGAGATCCGAATCGAAATAGAGTTCGAAAGCCGTTGCACGCGGGGGGCCTCGTGGACATCATCAACGACGCCAGGATGAAGATGGAAGAGTATGGCATAAACCTGTGGTCGCTGAACACCAGCTCAAACGTCCGGGACATGGGCCATACCCTTACTTACAGCTGGGGGCTGTGCAACGGGTTCTTCTGGGGCTGCCTCAATCGGAAGAGCAGCGATCTGCGTCTGCTCCGCGGCGACGGTCACGAAGACTTCGAGAGGACTTGCCGGTTTTGGAGGCCTAGACGATGACACCAGCACCAATATCGGTGGTCGCCTCCACCGAGGGAAGCTGTGCTGTGCCTGATCTCGGTGATGGGATAATATTCTGGTTTCGTTGATGGCCGAAATATTTCCACTAGCGCCAAGCACTATGATCATCTTTCCTTGGTGGAGGCAACCAGGCCAACTTCCAGGCCTCCAGCGATTCCTTCAGAAAGACGGCGCGGTCCTACGGTACCAGGAGTTCTGCGCCGTCACCAGGCGGGCGGCGTCGGGGAAGTCTGGGCTGGCTGCGCGCACGAGGTGCCAGTGCGAGGTCGAGCTTGTAAGCGAGATCTTTCCCACGCGGTGTGCCGCGATGGCGACCAGCGGAAGCCACCGCGTATGGTTACCCTGACTTGGACAGTAAGTCACTTCCACTCGTCCTGCATCGAATGTATGGCGCTCGGCAGCGCGCGCACCGCGCTCAGCAGCGCCCAACTGGCGCACAGCAGCGAGCAGTGGCGCTCAAGAACGCCATGGGATGGAGATGCGTTGCGTCCGCTTTGCGCGCTACATGACGTGATATCGGGCGCCATGTGGACGAGCAAAAGCTCTCCGTGTGTTACTTCCTAATCATGCCTTCGCGAGTGAGGGCCTTTCTATCCTTCGCTGCTCCACAGGTGCGGCTCCAACCCTGGAGCTGCAGGCGTCAGTATCGTCCAACCTATCCCCATCCCCACTCGGCCATGGTAACCGAGCCCCACCATCCCACCCTCCAGTAGTAGGTGGGAATCTGCCCCCCGCGAGGCCCGAATGTGACAGCATATATGATCCTGGGCTCCGGGCCCACGCCCCCCCCCCTTACCTACGCCACACGCCACACCCACAGCACCACACCACACCCACGGGGGGAGGGGGGCCATCGCGCGCGGGGGGGGGGGAGGGAGGTCGATGGCGTCAGCACTGGGGGGGGGTCCCAGACCCTGGACCATGATCCCGGGCTCCGGGCCCACGGGTTCCCCCCCCCAAGGCTCGGGGGCGGCAAAGAGGGGGGTGATGACTAGGGGGGGGGGGGATATCATGGCGGGGGCCATGATATCTCACCAGATTTCATGGCGCCTCGTCTTATTTCATTACGTCCCTGCCCCCCCCGGGGCCGCGCACATGCCGCCGGCCATGATTTGCACCCCCCCTCGTGGACGCCCCCCTCTTGGCCGCTCCCGAAAGATGGGATGGGTCTCAGGGTCCCTCGCCCCCCCCCCTCCCTGATGGGATGGGGGGCGGCGACAACGACGACGACGACGGCGACGACGGCGACGACGGCGGCGCGACGGCGACGGCGACGGCGACGACGACGACGACGACGGCGACGACGACGACGGCGACGACGACGGCGACGACGGCGACGACGACGACGGCGGCGGCGGCGGCGGCGATGACGACGACCTCCGGAGCTCTCCTGGAGCACCACAGTACCACGCCACACACGTCACACCCACAGCACCACAACACACCCAGAGGGGGGAGAGCATCGCGCGGGGGGGGGGCCGATGGCATCAGCATGAGGGGGGGGGCCCAGACCCTGGACCATCTATCCCCTACCCAGGGGGGTACATCGGCCAATGGGGCTAAGGCCATGCCAGTGGGGATAGGGATCGTTAAAAAGATACTGACCGACGCCGCGCTGATCTCCTTGATCGGCGCTGGACCCCCCTTCCTGGCGCGCGGAGCGCGCGAGGGCCGCCGCCAGGGGCGCGCCCGGAGGCGCCGCCAGGGGGCTCCAGCGCCGATCCAAGAAGTCTGCGCGGACCTCCGGAAGTTTAGTTCCTTGTTGTGTTTCGCTAGCCTGTTCCAAAAGTGGTCCGAAAGGACCACAGAAGGGTCCCACAAGGGGGACGGGGAGCCCCGGGCCGCCCGTCGTGGCGTCCGTTTCGCCTGCACCTTCTTCGCACGCTGTTCAGTCAGGAATCGTGTTCTCTCGCGCCAATGCCAGCTCCATGTTTGGTCCAGACGGCCACGACCCTGCGTGAGCCATGCATCAAAGTGCACATGGCCGTGCTCTCACCCCTACCCAGGCTGCATGTGTCCTGGGGATCCCAAGGGATACCGACGAATGCACATGCTCTCGCCAGCCGAACCTCGCTCCTCGACCCGCCTCTTCCCCCCTTGACGCTATTGGGGTGCTTGGCCAGGGCCACGTTGGTGCATTTTTTGGGGAGGCTCTCGACGTCCTTCGCTGCCCCCCTCAGGTCGGGCGTTGCTAGAAGTACCCCTGGCCCAAGGTACCCCCAGGATTCTCAGGGTGGCCCAGGCGGCCTCCAGAGCACCCCTCACGAGGCCCAGAGGGCCTCAGGGACCCCAGAACGGAGCGAAAGGCTGGGGGCACCTTGGGCCAGGGGCACTTTAGCAACACCCGATCAGGTGCGGCTCCAACCCTGGGGGTCTGCAGGCGTCCCTGGCCGCTGGGCGGCGGGGCCTCGAGGAGAGGGCCGCCGCGAGCCTGCTGGCCGCGGAGTTCCCCCTGCTCCTGAGGCCGCCAGCCCGGAGCACGTCCGAGTCCCTGTGGTTCGGAGGTGGACGGACCTCCTACCCTGACACGCCGACTAGGGAATTGGCCGTTTTCGCTTCGCGAGAGGGCGTCGCGGCCGTCGTTTTTGCGGGTCCAGGTCCGTCGAATTCGGTCCCAGGCCGTTTTCACTAAGGGGAGGTTTACTAAAGGGAGGTTTGTCCACCGCCGAATGGTTGGCGTCACCTTATCTCGATGCCGATTCCCTCGGCTTCTGCGCACGCGTTCCCACGATTGTCATCGCTTTATGGCTTGTCGATCTTAGCCAAGAGAGGAAAACTACCCCGACACCGATAGCTGGCGTTTTCTAAACGGCCCTGGGCGTTTACTAAACAGCCCTGGCCTGTTGGATTCTTTTCTTGGGTGCGTTTGCTAAACGACTTCGCTTGTCGGGGTGCTTACTATAGTGGTGGATCTTTTGCTCTCCACTTAGGGGCAGGGATCTGCTCGGGGCTGGTTACGAGGCTCACGCCCTCCGCCAAGATGGGCTTGGCGTTCCGGCAACTCGAGAGCGAGCGGTCCCTTTGGCGGGTGTACAACATTCGGCTGCCCAGACCTCCACCGTATGGATGTCTGGGCCGTCCCAGGGATCCAGGCGTGTTATTTTTTTCACAACGGGCGTCTTCGCTAGGTTCCAGTCCCCAGAACCATCACAGCCCTGTTCGCCTCGAGAAATGCAGCTGCAACATGGGCTCTTGGGCTCGGGTCGTGATTTTTCGCCGTGCTGCATTTTTGTTCGCAACGTCGGATCTCTGGGTTCGGTCACGCGTAAGAGCGACCCTTCGCTGGAGCGGCCTTGGGCGCGGGCCCATACGTGGGTCCTCCGAACGAAGGCTTGCTTGCCCAGGTATGGCCCCTGTGAGCCTCGCGCCAGAGGGAAGTCTTGCCAAGGTCAGCTCTTGCGCGTAGCCGAAGCATCCTCAGCGTCCAGCGCTTCCGCGCGCTCTCCGGGCGCGGGCGGCTGGGCCTGCTGGTGGGTAGCTGCTGCGTCGTCCTGGCTCGGGAGGGCTCCGGCGGCTCCGTCTTCCTGCCCTGCCGGCTGAGCTCTCTCGACGCGGGCACGGGGGTCCTGAGGCTGGACGCTGGAATATTGGGTCTGGCGCACATGGGTCGGCGGTGAGAGGATGTGCAATCGTTCACCTCTTGCACGTGCCCCCTACGTGCTCCTGAGCTCACGAGTCTGCAGCACTCTTCTGATTTCTGGGGGACACGAACTACTCTGCACGGGCAAAGGCCAGTGCACGTGAGCAAACGGCTGCGCCCACGTGACAGTGTCGCATCCAGCGCGCAAGCTACGGCATCCAGGCACCAAGTATCTCAGGAGACAACAACACACAGACACAATGAATCTTCGATTCCCCAGACAATGTGTGAAAATATGGGAAGTGGGGGGGAAGACGAAAACCCAGAAGATATGGGAGCATCTGGGGAATCCTGTTATTTGTGTGTATCTGTTTGTGTGTCCGATGGCCCCTTCAGTATTGAAAGTACTGTTGCGCCTCTCCCCGCGGACCCATCTGCGCCAGGCCCAACACGAGAGCATTTCGATCCCCTGGCGCGTAACGGTCGTTCCCAGGCCCCCCCCCCCTCTCCGGGTGACGGTAGCTGGTTGGGGGGGGGGCTGCCCCCATGCCCACATGCTGGCGCTGGCGCGCACATTTTGGCGATCGCAGCGCACCCTGGCCCCGACGTGCTCCACCCCGCCCGAGTGGCACCGTTGCCAGAAGCAGCCAAGTGTGAATCCTTTCCGGCTTGAAGAGGCTCACGTTCTGCGACGGCAGCCGCCTGGACGTCCCGCGCGGCTGCTTCGGCGAGGCGCTGCGCGAGAGGCGCCTCCTCGTGGCGTGGGCGCCCCCCGCGGCGCGATGCCGCCGCGGGGCCGCGGCGGCCGCGGAGGACCTCCCGC